AGCAGCTGCAGACACTCATTAAGAACCAACTGGCCGAGCGCAGTGGCGCACACCTGTAATCCCAGCACTTCGGGAGGCAGAGGCTGGAGGATCGCTTGAGCCTAGATGTTAGAGACCAGCCTGGGCAACATGGCAAAACCCCATCTCCACCCAAAAAAAAAAAGGCAAAAATTAGCCGAGTGTGGTGGCACGTGCCTGTAGTCCCAGCCGTTCTGGACGCTGAGGTGGGAGGATCACCTGAGCCTGGGAGGTCGAAGCTGCAGTGAGCTGTATTGTGCCACTGCGCTCCAGCCTGGGTGAAAGAGTGAGACTCTATCTCAAAAAGAAAAGAAAAGAAAAGCAATTGTATGCTCTGTGGAGGGTGGGAGGTGCAGCGCAGGAGCTTGCCCGAGCACCTTTAGCTGGGTTTCCCAGCAACCTGCTCAGGCTGTTCCCACAGCTAGGGCCCTGAGTGCTGGCTGAGTGCTGGGCGTGGCTCCTCCCACCACCTGCAACTGAAGACAAGATTCTCTCCTGAGTGCCTGCCAGGGCTTCCTCAACTTCCCATTCTTCAAGCTCCCGTCTGGAGTAACATAGACCGCTCTCGTGAGTTTCAGTCAAGACATCCCAGATAGTCAACCTGAAATCGTTGCGAGATGGACATACTGATTTGTTCTGTTTTGTTTTTGAGACGGAGTCTTGCTCTGTCACCCAGGCTGGAGTGCAGTGGCGTGATCTTGGCTCACGGCAACCTCTGCCTCCTGGGTTCAAGCAATTGTCCTGCCTCAGCCTCCTGAGTAGCTGGACTACAGGCGTGCACCACCACGCCCAACTAATAGTTTGTATTTTTAGTAGAGATGGGGTTTCACCATGTTGGTCATGCTGGTCTCAGACTCCTCACCTCAAGTGATCCACCCGCCTCGGCCCTCCTACAATGCTGGGATTATAGGTGTGAGCCACCGCTCCTGGCCGGAAGTAGCGTTTGGGCCAAGACTTGGAGCATCAACTCCTAGAATCAGAGAGGAGCCGCCACTCGGGCACTGAAGCAATGCCCATTAGGCTTTGTTATGGAAATGTCTCCTGATCATGGTTTGTGTCCGTTGAGATTCCAATTGTAAAAGGCTGGAGTGCAGGTCTGGCTTCTTTCTCCGGCAGATCCGTAGGAACCCTCTAGTGAGCACATTTGGCTTAGAAAACAAAGCTGCCGTGGGGCCCCGAGTGCAGGGCCGGGAGCTGTTGTGTGTGATCTCCCACATCGGCTCGTGGATCACAGCGTGAGCTTTTACATTTGTGGCTTTCAAGAGGCAGGTTGTCAGAGACGTGGCTCGCAAGTGAAGTTTATATCTTAGTGGCGGAGAGCAGTTGTTCTTAAAAATACTAATTATAAACGTCAACACCTCTGTTGGCGTGCTGCCTAACTATAAACCAGGTGTTTTACCTTTGGGTTCTCATGGCCCAACTGGCCTTAAAGGGTGTTTTTCTGCACCCTCAAAAGGCAGTGGTTATTTACCTGAAGTTGAGTCTTCCACGAACCAGAGCACTCTCGGTCAGACACTGTGGGGACAAATGTGGCCACTCTACTCTGTCAGGGTTTACCGCATCCAGACACTTACTAGGTTCCGTTTCACGAATTTTGGTAAAAGTCTGTGACTACTATAAAACATTAGCAGATTCTTCATTGTAATCACAGTAAACCTTGCAACCTCTTACATTTACAGAATTGGGGTAATTTGGATATTGGCATCTAGGAGGTAGTTGCTTGCCAAAGAACCTGTATAAAATAATAGGTACCTTGTGCAGATCATTGATTTGGGATGAAAAGGAAAAGGGGAGGTGCTTAATTGAAGAACCAGTGAGAAAGTTTGTCCTGAGGCCTGTGTGCCCATTCAGTGCCAGGAAGCTGGGCATGAGCCAGTTGTTTCTTCTCCCTCCTGAGGACCAAATGAAAGAAAGTTGGTTGAAATTGCATCAGGAATTCTTATTTATACACAAGAAATACTTCCTGCCAGTGAGAGTGGTCACCGAACAAGGTCCCTAGAACGGGTGTTAGACCCTTGTGAGTGTCGGGCAGCCCCTGTGTGCACGGCTGTGTCGTGGCAGCCACCAACCTCTCAGCCTGCCCTCCAGCCTGCAGGCAGATGGTGATGAGGGGCAGTGCTCCCAGTAAGGCACTGTCTCAGTAGCCGGCAGGCTTCCCCATCTCATCACGTAAGGACCAGAGGCACGCGTGCTCCTGGGATGCTCTGTCAACATGGCCCATCTCAGTCATGCCTGAATTGGCAGAAATGTTCAATGAGGGATGCTGGGGAACTTCCTCTCTGTGTTCTTATTCTGAATTGTCATGCCTATTGCAAATCTCTGTGCAGAATTCACATCTTTACTCACATTCCTTAAAATCTGCTAGGACCACAAAAGGCTCTTGGAGTCTCAGCTTGGTTAAAATCGCCTCTCTTGCAGCAACAAACATACAGCCTTGCCTGAGTAGTCTGCTGCAGGAGCTCTGTGAGCCGCCACCTTAAGAAGGCGAGTCATCACTAGCGATCTTTTTAGAACATATACTGACACTTCATATACTGATCACGCTTGCCTCTTTTGCTCCGAGAGCAGTGAAAGAAAAGAGACTTGATCATTTCTGGTGCCTTAGAAAGCTGCTTCATTCAGGAGGATGAGAAGCTTTTGTTTCAGGAACAATCCAACCTGTACAAGTCTCTGTATTTGGTGAGACTAGTCCCAATCTTGTGAGCAAGAGTCAGGAAATCAAGCCCAAGGGTATAAACTGACCTTCCCTTTTTTTTTTTTTTTTTTTTTTTTTTTTTGAGATAGAGTCTCACTCTGTCCCTCAGGCTGCAATGTGTTAGCGTGATCTCCACTCACTGCAACCTCCACCTCCCAGGTTCAAGTGATTCTAGTGCCTCAGCCTCCCATGTAGCTGGGATTTCAGGCATGCCACCATGCCCAGCTAATTTTTACATTTTTAGTAGAGACGGAGTTTTACCATGTTGGCCAGGCTGGTCTCGAACTCCTGACCTCAGGTGATCACCCACCTTAGCCTCCTAAAGTGCTGGGATTACAGGTGTGAGCCACTGTACCCAGCCTAAACTGACTTTTTTTTTTCTTTTTTTTTGAGATGGAGTCTTGCTCCATCGCCCAGGCAGGAGTGCAGTGGTGTGATCTCGGCTCACTGCAGCCTCCACCTTCCCAGTTCAAGTGATTCTCCTGCCTCAGCCTCCTGAGTAACTGGGATTACAGGCACGCGCCACCATGCCCGGCTAATTTTTGTATTTTTTAGTCGAGATGGGGTTTCACCATGTTGGCCAGGCTGGTCTCAAACTCCTGACCTAGTGATCCACCCACCTCGGCCTCCCAAAGTTCTGGGGTTACAGGCGTGAGCTACCGCACCTGGCCTAAACAGACTTTTTAATAGTGATGGAGCAGTCCATGTTTACAAGTAAGATGAGCCTTTTAAAAATATATACATATACATATGAATACATACACACACAGATATTTTTATACAGTCAGTATTTGCTAGAACTGTGTCATACTTGTCTACATCTGAATAAGCTGGGTGACTGTTCTGTGGCCATGAGCGAGGTCAGATAGAAAAATTCCGCAGTGCCCAGCCTCTCCCTGCTCACTCTGCATGGGCACAGACCTGTTCATAATGCACCTGCCTACCAGACTCTTTCTGAGAAGAGTAAGGCCATTCTGTTTTGATTTTGGTAGATAATCTTGTGCCGTGGAAATCAGAAGGGCAAAACGAAGCAGTCATGATGAGAAGCACACCTCAGAAATCAGGACATCCCCCTATCAGGTGGTTTTGGAGAAAACAAGGAAGGTGGAAGAATGGAGTGCAATTGTGTGAGCAGAAAGGGGGGCAGGAATCCCGGGTGCTGCACTGCTTAAACCACAGGACCTGGTTAACTCCTCACCAAGCTTCCCACGACCCTGGTTGCCAGTGGGCGTGGGAGACATTGTATACACATTATGCTATTTAAAATATGTTCAAACCATAGTGTAAATGCTAATTAACCATATTGGTATATAACCAGAATTTTATATTAAAAGGGGCCTCCTTTTTAAATATATGCTGTGTAAAAAATGTACTTATAGGAACATCTCTTTGAATTGTATTTCTTGTAGATTACATACTTAGAGAAACTATTTTAGCCAGGCAAAGTCTTTTTTGGCTGTGACTGGAATAAATCATTTATTACTGAGAGTCCCATTTTGGACACTAATAATAAAATCATGGCAATGCATTTTTGAGGTTTTTATATTTTTTTACTATTTCCTCGTGGTTATAGGGGACAGGAAGAACTCTTTAACATCTTTTAAATACAATCGTTTCACCCTTAAAAGGAGAGGAAGGGGATTGGGCCACAGACGTATCCATGGACTCGTCTGCTCTGAGATCTGGAAAGCGACCTAACTTTGGTCTAAATCTGTGCACTGTTTGCTAGAAATGTAGGATTTCAGGCTCCACTCGAGACCTACAGAGACAGAATCCAGATTCTCACAAGATCCTAGGTGATTTGTTTGCATATTAAAGATGGAGACCAGTGAGTACACTGGTGTGTGGAAGGAAAAAAAAAATAGAGAAGCTCTGCCCTAGATACTAATTAGAATGGATTTACACGAAAATGACCAGAGACACTGGGAACCAGAGAAACAAGGCAACTAAAATGTATCGAGTATCTGTTCTGTGTCAGGTAACGTGCCAGGCATTTTCATGTATGCCTTTATTTAACCCTCAAAATCAACTTGCAGGTTAGGTTAAACAATTGCCCAAGTTCAAAAGCTGCAGCTGGCACCTGTGCGTGACTCCAAAGCCCGTGTGCTTCCCATTAGGGCACACTCCCTGCCCAGAGCCAGCACGGCTCAGCTGCTCTCAGGCCAGCATGGAGGAGGGACAGGATACAGAGGGGATATGCAAGGCTAACTCCAAAACCAAATTCCAAGACTAAACTAAAGCGTGTGTTTGTAAAGAGGGTAAAAATGAAGTTTGGAAACAAACTTGCCTAATTCCCAGATATTCCTCCTTGTCTGTTATGGGGCTTGACAGCGGCAGGCAATTTGGTAGGGATTGCAGCAGGGAGTTACTGAAGGGTCCTGGGTGTAATCTGCACTGGAGATGTTGTCATTGGCAATGTCTTGAAGGACGTCTGCAAGAACCTTTCTGACCTTGGGCAGCACGGCCTGGTACTCCGCACCACCTCTTTCTAGAGGCACAGCTTCTGCGATATCGTCTTCCAGGTTGAAAATCAGAGGAAGCTTATGCTGTAGCTCAGGCCCGATGCTCCCATCACATGCTCTGGCTCCACCTAGAGAGGGAATGACAACAAATACCTTGCTAACCCTGACAGTTGCCCTATGTTGTAAAGATGAGAGCTGCAAGTGATTATACATTAATGCAAACATACCAGATAACCAAATATTCCAATGACGGCTCTCTCTGTCAGAGAAATGACCTTGAGAAATCTATTTGCTCCTTCCAGTGATGATCCTGTGGTCCAAAATGTTTTGCTTTTTCATTTCCGTTTTTGTTTTTTGAGGCAGGGTCTGGCTTTGTTGCCCAGGCTGGAATGCAGTAGTGTGATCCTAGCTCACTGCAGCCTCAGCCTTTTTGGGCTCAAGCGATCCTCCCACCTCAGCCTCCCAAGTAGCTGGGGCCACAGGCATGCACCACCACACCCAGCTTCCCCCCGCCCCTCCCAGAGACAGGGGCCCGCTATGTTGCTCAAGCTGGTCTCGAACTTCTGGCCTCAAGCAATCCTCCTGTCCTAGCCTCCCAAAATGCTGGGATTATCAGCAGGAGCCACTGCACCCAGCTTAAAATGATTTGGAAGTTCTCCTTGAACTTGCCTTCAGAGCCAGTAGAACATTCATTCAAGTATCTTTATTGACACAAAATCAGGATATAATTTTTTTTTGTTTTTTGTTTTTTTTTTCAAGTTGGAGTCTTGCTCTGTCACCCAGGCTGGAGTGCAATGGCGCAATCTTCGGCTCACTGCAGCCTCTGCCTCTGGGTTCAAGCAATTCTCCTGCCTCAGCCTCCTGAGTAGCTGGGATCACAGGCACCCGCCACCACGCCCGGCTACTTTTTGTATTTTTAGTAGAGATGGGGTTTCACCATGTTGGCCAGGCTGGACTCGAACTCCTGACCTCATGATCTGCCCACCTCGGCCTCCCAAAGTCCTGGGATTACAGGCATGAGCCACCGCACCAGCCAGGATATAATTTTTTTAAGTATCTTTAACCTCTGCCCTTTAAGAGTAAATTTGATGTTTTTGAAAATCGATTTCTTGACTACCAATTGGTGAATCAAGTAGAAAGGTAGGTGAGTAATTTCACTTTGGGTTGAAGATGACAGTCTTATGTGGATTCATATCTGGCTGTGAAAGCCATCCAGAAGGGGAAGGACAAAAATGTTTGGAATGACAGCAGCTTCCTTGGCTTCTCATGATTTCGATGACTTTTGTGTGTGTGTGTTTTTGTTTTTTGTTTTTTGTTGTTGTTGTTGTTTTTGCCTTTGCTATAGAAAAAGTAGTTAAGGTGTCTGATGGAAATAAATATAACATAATTAAATAAACAAAGGGAATTAAGGCAAAAGATAGCCCTCACAATTACAAGAGTTCCTAAACACTGACTTTGCTTCTGAGCTTAGCAGCAGCCAAACATTAATGAGATAGAAACTTACCAGTTGCTCAGGAGAAGCAGAGCTTTTTCTGACACTAAGATCTGAGAGAAATTCTTCCAGTGGCTCCTTCTCCTACAGGGGACCCTGTAGGATAGAATGCTCACTGGCATTCTTACAAAAAACAAAACTGATACTAGGATGGTTCCACTGATGACTTCTTATCACATCCCTTACTATATGATGAGAGCAGGTGCCAACATGCAACTCAGTCCAAGGAAATCTATAGGGGCAAAGCCATACCACCTAAGGATTCAGGCTTCTGGTCCAATCTGGCCAGAAATAAAATTTGAAATATTTAGGAGAATGAGTAGATCTCAAAGCCTTTAGACAACCCTTTATTACTGGATTTCCTCCTGTGGCTGAGAGTCAAGTTGATCAGTAGAGATTAACAGTTGTTGTCTTTGCCTTGAGTTTGGAGTAGAACTTGATTATTCTTCATTGCCAGTAAAAGGCAGTGATGTGAGTTTTGACAAACAGTTCATGCTAGGAGTGGAGACTGTGTCCCAGGACTGAGGGATCTGCCTAAGATCAAGGGAAAAATCTGAAAGACTCATCCTAACAAAGTGTAAAACTAAGGCTTTATAAATTCAAGGGAATTGACTACTGATTAACTGCCAGTGAAAACAAAAATCAACACTCTCAGATAACAGAAATCAGAATTGCTACGATGCATCACCAACAATGTCCAGCTTACAATTTTTAAGGATGGCTAAATAGGAGACTCCCAGTTTCTAGTCTGGCAAGTAAGGAGGTCGGCAGTCATCACTTCATTCTAACAAGTAAAAAGCCGAACAAACTAAAAAACCAACAACTCGGCCGGGCGCAGTGGCTCACGCCTGTAATCCCAGCACTTTGGGAGGTTGAGGCAGGCAGATCACAAGGTCAGGAGATCGAGATCAGTCTGGCCAACATAGTGAACCCCCATCTCTACTAAAAATACAAAAAATTAGCTGGGTGTGGTGGCGGGCACCTGTAATCCCAGCTACTTGGGAGGCTGAGGCAGGAGAATCACGTGAACCCAGGAGGCGGAGGTTGCAGCAAGCCGAGATCGTGCCATTGCACTCCAGCCCAGGCAACAATACAAGACTCCATCTCAAAACAAAAAAAAAAACCAACAACTCTTACTAGGTCTTTCAGACAAATGAAGTCACAGGGCAAACTACTGCCCCCAAAGTCAGAGAGACAGACAAGCAAACAGAAAGAATCACAACTTAGCAGAGCAGAAACCCACAAGCAGAAACCTCTGTAAGAACCAGTGCCAGGAGGAGGGAAACCCTGCACTGTAATTGACAAATTGCTGGAGGCTCAGTGTGGACAAGTCTGAGGGACGAAAAACTCCAGTGGGGCCCAGTTGTCAAGTGCCCCCTCCCCCCACACCCAAAACACACGCACTTTTGTGTTTTTACCTCCAGGAGCTCAACCAAGTTCTTACAGTAAATATTGGAGAAACATCTCTTCATCCTTCCAAAAGAGGTAGAAGAAAAGTAATTTTTAAATATACCAAAACGTTCTCGTTTTCTTAACGAGGCCTGCCCGGGGAAACTATTTTACCAGAGCTTAAATTACTTAGGTTTTTCTCAGAGCCTAACTGACCTAAGGGTAGGGAGATCCCAGCTGTAGTCACTCTAGCTGTTCCACCTAAGGGGAGGGAAGGGAAAGACTGAGAAGCATTTGTGAAGTTCACAGTCCAAGGATACAAGCTCACCAAAACACTAAGATTCAACAATAACCTACCCAAATGAGAAGGAACCAGAAAACCAACTCTGGTAATATGACAAAACAAGGCTCTTTGGCACTCCCCCAAAAAATCACATTCGCTCACCAGTCATGGATCCAAACCAAGAAAAAAATCCCTGATTTACCTGAAAAAGAATTCAGGAGGTTAGTTATTAAGCTAATTAGGGAGGCACCAGAGAAAGGCAAAGCGCAATGCAAGGAAATCCAAAAATCAATACAAGAAGTGAAGGGAGAAATATTCAAGGAAATAGCATAAAGAAAAAACAATGAAAACGTCAGGAAACATTGGACATACTATAGAAATGCAAAACGATCTGGAAAGTCTCAGCAATAGAATTGAACAAGTAGAAGAAGGAAATTCAGAGCCCAAAGATAAGGTCTTTGACTTAACCCAATCCAACGAAGACAAAGGAAAAAGAATAAGAAAATATGAACGAAGCCTCCAAGAAGGCTGTGATTATGTTAAACGACCAAATCTAAGAATAATTGGTGTTCCTGAGGAAGAAGAGAAATCTAAAAGTTTGGAAAACATATTTGGGGGAATAATCAAGGAAAACTTCCCTGGCCTTGCTAGAGACCTAGACATCCAAATACAAGAAGCTCAAAGAACACCTGGGAAATTCATTGCAAAAACATCATCGGATAACCTATAAAGGAAAACATGAGACAAAAATACCAGGTATCCTATAAAGGAATTAACAGCAGATACCCTACAAGCTAGAAAGGACTGGGGCCATATCTTCAGCCTCCTCCATCAAAACAATTATCAGCCAAGAATTTTGTATCCAGCAAAACTAAGCATCATATATGAAAGAAGGATACAGTCTTTTTCAGACAAACAAATGCTGAGAAAATTCACTACTGCCAAGCCAGCACTACAAGAACTGCTAAAAGGAGCTCTAAATCCTGGAAACACATCAAAATGGAACCTCTTTAAAGCATAAAGCTCACAGGATCTATAAAACAAAAATACAACTTAAAAAGCAGAAACAAAAAACCAAGGTACATGGGCAACAAATAGCACGAGGAATGAAATAGTACTTCACATCTCAATATTAACACTGAATGTAAATGATCTAAATGCTCCACTTAAAAGGTGCAGAACAGCAGAATGGATAAGATCACCAACCAACTATCTGTTGCCTTCAGGAGACTCACCTAACACATAAGGACTCACATACATTTAAAGTAAAGGGGTAGAAAAAGACATTTCATGCAAACGGACACCAAAAGTAAGCAGGGGTAGCTATTGTTATATCAGACAAAACAAACTTTAAAGCAACAGTAGTTAAAAAAGACAAAGAGAGACATTATACAATGGTAAAAGGCTTTGTCCAACAGGAAAACATCACAATCCTAAACATATATGCACCTAACACTGGAGCTCCCAAATTTATAAAACAATTACTAATAGACATAAGAAATGAGAGAGATGGCAACACAATAATAGTGGGGGATTTCAATACTGCACTGACAGCACTAGACAGGTCATCAAGAAAGAAAATCAACAAAGAATGAATTTAAACTATACTTTGGAACAAATGGACTTAACAGATACATACAGAACATTCCAATCAACAATTGCAGAATACACATTCTATTCAACAGTGCATGGAACTTTCTCCAAGATAGATCATAGGATAGGCCACAAAATGAGCCTCAATAAATTTAAGAAAATTGAAATTATATCAAGCATTCTTTCAGACCACAGTGGAATAAAACTGGAACTCCATAAATAAATGGTTACATCCCATGTTCATGGATTGGAAGACTTACTATTTTTAAAATGTCAATACTACCCAAAGTGAACTACAGGTTCAGTACAATCCTTATCAAAATCCCAATGATGTTTTTTGCAGAAATAGAAAAATTCATCCTAAAATTCACATGGAATCTCAAGAGGACCCAGAATAGTCAAAACAGTCTAAAAAAAAAAAAAAAAAAAAAAGAAATAATCA